AGCTATCTATGATACACATTGGTCCGTCCTTAAAGGTCTCATCTGCATCAACAATCAACTCACCTCAATCTACCCCATGTGTCGGATCTGGAGTATACTTTCGGAGCATAGAGACATGGCACACTGCGTGAACACCAGATAGACTTGGCGGTAACGCCAACCAGTAAGTGATTGTACCAACCCTCTCAAGTACATTGAAGGGTCCAATATACCTCAGCAACAGCTTTCCCTGCTTCCTGAACCTAACCACTCCTCTCTTGGGCATCACCTTTAAAAAGACATGATCTTCAACCCCAAATTCTAGAGGTTGTCGTCGTCTGTTAGCGTAGCTCTTCTGCCGGCTCTGAGCTATAAGAAAACGGTTCCGTATCAGGTCCACTTTCTTCGAGGTATCTCTAATCAGATCTGGACCCGTTGAGGGTTTCTCTCCCACCTCCGTCCAACACATCGGAGAACGACAAGACCTCTCATACAACGCCTAATAGAGTGTCATCTGTATTCTTGTCTGATAACTATTGTTGTAGGCGAACTCCACTAAGGGTAAATGCTCTTCCCAGCTACTCTTGAGATCTAGGACACATACCCGCAGCATGTCCTCTAAAACCTGGATGGTCCTCTCTGAATGACCGTCTGTCTAGGGATGAAAGGTTGTACTCATCGTCAACTGTGTCCCTATGACCAGCTAGAAGCTCTCCCAAAAGTGAGTTGTAAACTTGGGGTTTCAATCCGATATTATGGATACAGGCACCCCATGCAACTGAACTATCTCTCGTATATACAACCTACATAACTCTTCTAGCCTGAAGGTCATCTGCACTGTAAAAAAGTGTGCCGACTTGGTAAGCCGGTCTACTATCACATATGCCGAGTCATGCTCCCGTGATGTCTATGGCAAGTGAGTCACAAAATTCATTGTGACGTGCTCCTAGTTCCACTCAGCCACCTCCAAAGGCTGGAGCAATCCTACTGGTCTTTGGTGCTCAGCCTTCACCGGTTGACACGTAAGACATCTACTGACAAAATCTTCAACGTACCTCTTCATTTTATTCTAATAGTACTTGCGACGGAGATCATGATACATCTTCGTGTCACCTGGATGAAACGTAAAACGGGAGCAATGGAACTCCCTGAGGATCTCTTCTTTCAAATTCGAAGACTAGGGAACTACAACCCTTCCCCTATACTGAAGACTACCATCCGCATGAATGGCCCAACCCTCGTCACCTGTACCCAACCATACCCGGTCCCTAATGTACAATATATCTATGTCCTGCCCATGGGACTTGATCACTCTACTCAGTAAGGAAGGTGTAGCCACCAAACTCCTCAAAGTGCCCTGAGCCTGACCCTTGTAGTGTAGCCCAAACTGTCCCACAGTCTCGAGCATCTGCCACTCTTGAAAAGCCACACTAGCCAATACTCCCCATGACTTTTAGTTGAGTGCATCAGCCACCAAATTTACCTTACCAGAGTGGTAATGCAAAGTGAAGTCATAGTCCTCAAGGTACTCCATCTATCTACGTTGCCTCATGTTGAGGTACCGCTGAGTGAAGATGTATTTCAGAATTTTGTGTTTTGAAAACACCTAAAACTGCTCACCATATAAGTAGTGGCGTCAATCCTTCAAGGTAAAGACAATGACTGTTAATTCCATGTCGTGCGTGGGGTAGTTCTGCTCATGGTTTTTTAATTGTTGAGAACCATAAGCCACCATTCTCCCAGACTGTAGCAAAACACAACCATGTCCGTCTCTAGAGGCATCACTGTACACTGTGTACATCTATCCCCTCTCTGGAACTATCAAAATAGGAGCTAAAATAAGTCTTCTCTTCAACTCCTAGAATGACTTCTCACACGATTCATTCCACTAAAATTTAACCTCCTTCCGAATCAACCTGGTCATAGGGGCGGCTAGTCAAGAGAAGTCCTCGATGAACCTCCAGTAATATTTTGCCAATCTCAAGAAACTGCGTATCTCAAAGACTGACCTCGACCTCTCCCAACTCATGATTGCCTCGACCTTCTCATCCTTCTTCTTGGCAAACAATATCGAAGCGCCGTAGGGTAAAGTGATCGGTCTAATAAAGTCCTTGTCCAATAATTCCTGTAATTGGACCTTGAGTTCTTGCAACTCAGCTGGTGCCATCCTATGCGGAGTCATAGAAATAGGAGATGTACCCGAATGCAACTCGATGCTAAAGTATACATCCCTATTGGGAGGTAATCCCGGTAGTTTGTTACGAAAAACGTCCTCATACTCACAGACAATCCGAGGTAGACCTAACTCTTATCTTATCTCGTTATCTAGAGTAAGGCTCGTAAATTAGCCCATCAACTGCCCATGTCATCGAGAGTCATACACGGCTTGGGACAAAGTGTCATGATTTTTCCCCTAAAACTTGAAACAAACATCGTCTGATGCGTAGGTAGTTACCCTCTTTCGATCGCAATCAATGATGACCCAATGTGCCACCAACCAGTCCATCCTAAAGATGACATCGAACTCCAACATGTCTATGACCCTAAGGTCTACGGTGAGTAAAACCCTCGAGATCTCTAACTCACAACCCCAACATATCTGGTCAACACACACCCTAACTCCTAGGGGTGATTTCACATACAATAACCCTTCCAAGGTATCTACCTCTAAGCCCAAATCCCTTGATGCAGAAATGAATAAATGCAATACACAAGAGTCAAATAACACCATAGCCTATAAGCGAGAGAGTAGAAATGTACCCTGAATGACTGACTGATCCACTAGCTCAGCCTAAGGTGTGATGGTGTAGACATGCCCCTGGATCCCTGAAGTCCCGACCTGTATGCCTTGTCCCTGACCTTGGCCCATGCCTTGGCCTATCTGGCCTGACTATAGAGTCCCCGCTCGAAAAGTGGTGGGGGCTTGAGTGGTGCCTTGGAACTGATATTGCCTTTCCTGGCTCGTGGTGGGGTAGGGAAGAACAAAGTATGTCTGTGGCTGCCCCACTGATGACTTGAATTGAGATATCCCATAACCCTGGGATCCTTGTCTCTGTGGACAATCCCGTTTCATGTGGTCCGTTTGGTTGCAATGAAAACATTTCCGTGAGCCTGTCTGGCTAGAAACCCTAAAGTGTCTCCCACCTTGGGAGGATTGACCTTGGCCTTGGTAGTCGTGGCCCTGTCCTTGATGTCCCTACAGAGTAGCAGTCCGTTGTCTCTTCCTCAAACTAAAAGAAGAGGATTGGTTCTCCTTCTTCTTGTCCTTAGCACTTGTCTCCCGGATACTTTGTGCGTCGTTAACCTCTCTCTCAATGATCATTGTCATCTCGATCATTGAGTCCAAATTCTGTAGGCGGTAACCCACAATTTTACCCCGAATGGACAACTTTAACCCATCCTCAAACCTTCTCACTTTGGCCAAGTCGGTGGCCACATAATTGTCGACAAAGCAGGCTAATTCGGTGAACTTAGCCACATACTTCATCACTGTCATAGTCCCTTGTTTCAAGTCTAAGAATTCTCAGGTCGTCGCATGTCGAACGGTCGCTGGGAAGTACTTGCCCACGAAGAGCTGCCGGAACTCTCCCCAGGTCATTGCCTCTAAGTTCTTTAAGGTCTTTACCCAATCCCACCACAGATGGGCTTCTCCCTCTAGCTGGAATGCAGCTAGCCTTATCTTCGTGGCATCGAAGGTGATCTCCATAGCCTATAAAATCTTATCAACTTGTTAGAACCAACAGTCGGTCACCATCGAATCCGCCCCTCCCAGAAAAGTCAGAGGTTTGTGTGTCTTGAACCATTGGAGGTTACTTGAGCCTCCTTACCCCACATTTGCACTAGTCTGTGCAATGGTGGCTGTCATCGTGCCAATAGCCTCTATGAAGGCTTGTTAGTCAAAAGCCGGTGATGGTTGGTTGTTGTTTTGCCCATCGCCTCGGCCGCATCATCTTCCTCTATTTGCTATCTACACACATGTCAAATAACAATAGAACATTTACTTAGTATCCCAAAATAGGAATCAAAATTCAAACTTTGAGATTTACCTCCTTGTCTAACTAGTAGAGCATATGTCAACCACTAGTAGACATCTATCCCATGAACCACTCCATTCATCTGTTTTCCAACCCCTAAGATTATGTTTTCTAACCCTAGTGTGTCTATTTTCATATACATCTTACCATGCATATAATCCATATAGCATATTCATTTGTTTGGAATCAGTTTTGATCATTTGCATATTAATTGAGTTTGATCTCTCTCTCTCTCTCTCTCACACACACACACACAAATTTTACGAATGAGCCCTCACCACCAGCTACCTCTTCTACATTGATTGTCATGACTGAACCTAAAACAGTATGGACAAAAAAAATTTATCTTGTGGTTGACTATATCAGGCAAAAATGAAATGTATGGCATCGGAAGATTCTGAAACTGGCCTCATGTTGTCATTCCATTCCCGAGGTTGATTTAGATTTGTGTATCGACTATGGAATTATTTCGATCTAGCTGATATATGCAATAAGCAATGTGCTGCGGTGTTAATAGTACTTAAAATCTTGGTAGGAGACGGTGAACCTCGAATTCTTTATCCGGATCATCCCATGCTTTAATACATGATCATCCAATGCATTAGTTGATGTTTTCTGACTGCATTTAACTTGTATACTTCCCAAGTTCTGCCAGATTTCTTATATATTCTGTTTTTATTTTTTCATTAAAGGTGCAGTATTTTTGTTTTACTTTAAGTCAGTAAGTTACTTTTATTTTGATTTATAGCTAGTTGTTTTACCTTAAGTTTATGTTAGTTTAAGTTTTTTAATCTCTTCCGAACATATCTTCTTTATCAACAGCTAAAGAAAGAAGGAAGGAGGAACGAGTATGAGATGCATAAACTGTTAGCCTTGAACCAGAGGCAAAAGATGGTAAACAAATTTTCAGCTAGATTTCATAAGTTTCCTAGTTTTAAATAATTACACACATCAAGTTCTATATATTTGTGTCAGGTTTTGCAACGAAAAACTGAGGAAGCTTCTATGGCTTCAAAACGACTGAAAGAGCTGTTAGAATCTCGAAAATCTTCATCACGTGAAGCCTCTGGTTGGGATATCCTTTGTTAGTGCTGTTCATGTTTAGTTTGCACATTTGTTACTCAATTGACTTCTCTGTTCCTATGCAGGCACTGGAAATAGCAGTGCTCCTGGAATTCAGGTATCAATGCCTGAACTGAAAGGATTTAGCATGCGTGTGTGTGTTTGTATTCATTAGTACAGAGATTCGTTTATAAAATGTGGTTTTGGATAACCTTTTGATGGGGATTGAGGATTTGGGATGACAGTGGTGTGTAAATTGATGTTTGTGAATGCTGGCCTGCCAATGTAGATTTTTATTCAATGTTACTCATTCTAACTCAAGATATATTTCTTTTCAATGGTTTTTTATAAAACTTGTGGTTATGGATATCCTTTTGATGGAGATTGGGAATTTGGGATCCAGATCCAGCGGTGTGTAAATTGATGTTTGTGAATACAGGCCTGCCAGGTAGATTTTTATTGAGTGGTTGCTCATTCTAACTTACTGTATATTTCTATTCAAAAGGCACTGATGCAAGCAATTGAGCACGAGCTTGAAGTTAATGTACGAGTACATGAAGTTCGCTTGGAGTATGAGCGTCAAATGGAAGAGTGAGTGCCATTATCTATTCATTTATTGGAATGACTTCATTTTCTTCTCCATCTTTTAGAGCATTATATAGCTATTGTAGTTTCAAGTCTAGAAGTTGGTTTTATTTGGTTATGTTCATAGTTGTCAAATCGTGTATTGGAAGGCGTATTGTTTTTTAAAAATAGTGTATCGTAAGATACACGTAATTTTAATTTTTAAATAATTATTAATAAAATATATGTATATACATTTATAAAAAAGTCATAGATTCATAATAACATAGTATTTCATTAATATTCCACCAACTATTCAAGTTTCCAACACAGTTCAGTAATATCAAAATGTAAAAACCTTTAATTCAAACTTTTAACATCAACTGCTTGAACAATTTTAATATTAATTAGGAATTTTGAATTTAATTGAACAACATTAACATCAGACTTTATTATTAATTTTTTTTAAATTATAACTACTGAAACGACGTTGTTTTACTAGCTAGTGATTTTAAAATAAGTTTTAGAGTAAAATGATGTCATTTCAACTGCAAAAAATAAAAAATAAAAAATAAAAAAATAGAATCGTCACGTATCATACATATTGACTGTATCGTATCGTGTATCGTACGATACGGTGCAAAAACGATACAGAGACATGATACGTATTGTTTTTCAGGTGTATCGTGACGTATTGCACGATACTAATAACTATGGTTATGTTCACTTTGGTGTTGCTTAAATTGACCCGTGCTACTGTCAGTTTAAGTTTAGCACCAGGGTTGTTAAATTTTTTCCCAACTTACAGTTGAACTGCTCAACACAACTGTGTTGAGTTTTACTGCCTATCTTTTTACTCAGCCGGTCCCAAGCCCAGATAAAAAATGATGAGAGTTGCGTTAGGTAGCTGACAACCAGCATAAAAGTTTGTCAGATTCAATATGAACATGATTCGGACTAGCTCCAGATAGTTGTGGGTACTGTTTTATGGCTGCCCCTCAAACAACATATTACTGTCTTTTTTGAAAAGCACAAAGTTTTAGGAAACCACATTAAATGCTTTTGAAACGATTGATGGATATTGTAATATTCCATTTGTTCCTTCAATTGAGGGCCTTTGTACGTGTCATTTACATGGTAATACAAGGTATAATTGATAATTTAACCGCCACCCTTTTGGATTTTGGTATAATAACTCTGGGACATCTGAAAAAGAAATGTGGACTTTCGTTATGGAATGGAGGAGATTGTTAGGAAATGGTGGGGTGGAAAAGAGCCTTGGGGATTTTTTTTTGGCAGCCAAGTGGGTTAAATTTTGCTCGTTATCTGTTGGAGCTTATCCTCTCTAGGTATAGGAATGTCTATGAGCTTTATGAGTCTTTGCATTCGTTGTCAATTAGTTTTCAGTAAGATGCTCTAGCATTTCTCAAGTCACATAAGTTTCAAGTAAAAAATCTGTTGAATGTGTTGACTAAATTCAGTTTTTGCATTGTTTTATTTGTTTTGAAGGTGTTTAAACTCTAGCATAAATTGTTAATGCTTATGTTGCCTATATTAAAGGTCTTTAAATCGTGCACGACTTATCAAAATATGTCTAGTTGAGTGCCTGATTTGTCATAATCAATGGCTGATACTGAAGAGAATTTTAATGTCTTAAAGAGACGAAATCTCAATTAGCATTTGCTGCTCTTTTCTGATGGAGAAGGTGCAGGATTGAAGTTCTGCTTGGTATATATGTGGAGAGGGGTTGGCAAATTGGAATGACGAAAATTAAAGTACAATAACAGATAAATGGGGGAAAGTTTGTGTGATCTTGTTATCTTCTATTTGTTGTGTAACTTCCAAGGGATAAGGTTTATGACATATTGTCTTTATGATGGCACAAATGCTACAGGTAAAACCTTCATCGCTCTGTCAACTTTCCAATTTTTATTCACCAAGTGAACCAAATTTGAAATGCACACACCAATGTTGTGTTGATCTACTATTGTTTTTGTTCATCAAGTTGATTGAAGGAATATATTTTGGAATTTTAGGAGGGCTACAATGGCAAAGGAGGTTTCAGTGTTGAAGGACGAAGCACAGATTCTAAAGCAAAGAAATTTATGGTCAGAAAAATTGTTGCCAGTTTCTTTTTCTCTTTTAATCACTCATTGTTTTTCCTTGATGCTTTTTTATGGCTATCATTGTCTTAAGCACTTGTCTTGAATGCATCCTGCAGTGATTGCCCTCAGACAATGTCTCCGGGTGCCAGAAATTCGAGGATTTTTGCACTTGAAAACATGCTTGCTACTTCATCCAGCACTCTTGTTTCTATGGCATCACAGTTGTCAGAAGCAGAAGAGCGCGAACGGGCCTTTAGTGGCAGAGGACGTTGGAACCAAGTTCGCTCTCTGGCTGAAGCTAAAAATATAATGAACTATCTGTTCAACTTAGCATCCTCGTCAAGGTAATTATAACTGTAGGAGTTAAAGATCTGCCAACAAAGGCAAGGCCCACTTCTGTTGTTTAACCCTTTTTTGCATTGCATATTTAATTTTTCACCTAATTCTAAAGATGCCAGCTACGGGATAGCGAGGTTGACTGTCGAGAGAAGGATTCTAAAATAAGAGATCTGAAGGAAAAGGTAGTCAATTTAGTTAGACAATTGGAAATGCAGAAGGCTGAGCTTATTCGTCAGGAGAAGTTGAAGGTTAGTATGTTTTCTGTCATACCATGTTTAGTCTCTCCCTTTTGCAGCAAATAATAATCAACCAACTAAAGTTACTGCTAAGTTTAGTTCATTTATGCCAGGTTGCATCTTGGTGACACTGTTTCAAGTAAACGAAGCCAATGAGTGATTTCTTAATCGCACACTTTATTGTTTCTATCAAGTTGCTTATTTGACTAATATATAAACTTCCAACCGTATGAAACCCTCGTCTTATTTTATGAATGCACTCTTGTAACTATACTCTTTTATGTCTCCATTCTCTTTTGTCAGATAACAGTAAATTTTGCTACAGTAAATAGGCTTACAGTGTGTGTGAAGGCTGGACAATGAATGCACTCCAGTCTAAGAGAACCAAACCTATACCAAAAAATAACTCAGCCAAGACAAAAATGAAAACATCTCACATGGTATCACTGTTGAAATGTGACATTCTGACAGTTGATTCATTAAAGAAAGTTTTTTTGGCACATAAAAGGTTGTACCTAGTGCATAAGACTTCCATGGGTCTGTGAGAAGCAAGTTTTAGAGAGTAGTACTCTTATTTTGATTTACGGATTTGAATCTGCCGAGTATTGTTTGGGTGGATAAGCACTTGTCATCGCTCAAGGTCCAAAGTCCTTTATGCACATCTTGTCCATATATATATATATATATTACTTGGATTTAAGTTCTTGCACTCAGCAGTGCATAGGTTTTGTACCTTGCATCCCAATATTATGTTCCTTCAGTAACAACATTGCAAGTCGTTACTATGCGTGATTCAATATGCATATTAATAAACGACTAGGGGGAGGGGAGTTGAATTTTGTGTATGGATTTATATCTGGTACAAGCAGAATTCATATATTTTCAGGATGTAATATTTATTGATGGGAAGTGCAATGGACGAAGATGAGAATAGAGTGTGCTTTCTTATGAAGAAGGCTTCACATCCCTTCATCTTTCTGTTTATTTCCACAGTAGATTGCATTTCATCACTTTTTTCTTATAGGTTAATTATGCCAAAAATCAGGCAAGTTCTGTCCTGCTATAAATATTTTCTAGCTATGAAACTGTGGTTTGAAATACCACGTTACTTGCCATGTATGTTGATGCACCTATGCCTGCCCTCCCAATTGGGCCTCAACTACTTCAATTCTTCACTTTTCTCATCAGTAACAATTTTCTGCGATAGATTATAAATTACCACATTTGGGGTGTCTAATATTTACATAATCAGATGCCAATCCCGTTATGCATTTTAGTATCATTACATAGTGTAAGCTATTCTCTGTTTTTTGGCATCTGCGACAGAAGTTGACTTCAATGAAGCACTCCAAGGAAAAGACGCAAAATTCTGTAGCTTATACAATAAGCAATGAGGAAGGGCATGTGTATGCTCTGCGGCCCAAGGTATATCAGTTTGCTCCTCAATGTACATGTAAAAGTATCAACTTTCAGTTGGTGTACTTTTCTTCTTAATGAACATTAGCGAAAATATGATTGACCTTCATTCAACTTTAGGGGCCCCGGAACTCCATGGTTTACAATGGAGGGACTAGTGTTCTTACACCAGAAGACATGGATACGGCTGAATCAGAGCATTCTGACATGAATGAAACTGATGATGACTGTGACTGGGAACATTCTGATATTGAAGTAGCTGATGATGACAGTGATTGGGTACTTGCACCAAAGGAGAGAAAAAGGCACCAAGCGAAGAAAAAGAATTCCAAGATCGAGAACCATTCAGGTACATTATCCAATCCAGTAAGTGTCAGTGACACCGAAAGTCTAGCAACAGAGACTACAGATGAGGGAAAAGACATTGTTGAAAGGAAAGTCGCATCTGGAATGTGCTGCTCATGCAGCAAACACTCTTCATGCAAGACAAGGAAATGCGAATGTCGAGCTGCAGAGGGCACTTGTGGGATTTCATGTGGCTGTGAACCAACTAAGTGCAGCAATAGAAATGCAGAACTGTCTGAAGGCATTGACAGTGGTTTAGGCACTGATCAAACAGAGAGCAGTCATATTCTTGCTTCTCATGGCGCAATGCTACTTCAGACTGCACTCTCTGAGAAGCCTGCTGAGACAAATGATTTCGGCGGGGCTAGAAGAAAACCATTATCTGACATTGGCAACACACTGGTATGTCTTGGCTCCCACAGTTTTAAGAATTCACTTTTCAAGTTAACAGTTTGCTGTTTATCCTCAAATTTTCACCTTATAAGATAAATGTTAAGAATCCGTTTGTATAGTGGGATAATGGTAGAAAATGCAAGAAAATAAATTTTTTAAAATTTTCATGTGTTTGGTTAGCAAGAAATGGAAAACAATTGAAAAAATAAATTTCTTTCATGTTTGGATTTTCTCACAACTAATTAATTTTTTTTTCTTGTAAAAAACACAAAGAAATGTCAGAAAATTGTGATTTATAACTAACTTTTTATTTTAACCATATTTTTCTTAAAATATTTTATTGCTTATTAATTTTAAGAATTTTTGTTATGGATTTGGTTAATCATAAAATTTGACCCAAATACCTTTGTGGGCACTTTTTTATTTTTTACCTTTCAATATTTTTTTAGACCGATTTAATATAATTAAGATAATTAGAAAAATTTTCTTGTAACTTTTTTTTTTCAAATAATAGAATGAAAATTTTTAAAATTTTTCTAACAAGTTTTTTATGTAACCAAATACATGCATTAAAATATATTTTCTACCGTTTTCTTTTATTTCACTTCATTTTCTATTATTTTCACTTTCCTTTATTCTTTTCCTCCTAACCAAACAGACTCAAATTTGGCATGTGCAAATTATTTCTCTGTTTTCATGAGCTCTGGCTTTTTATTTCACTTGCAATGCATCAACCTCTACTTGGCTTCATTCTACACTGTTTCTCTCTCCTAGACTGAGATTTTTAACTCCCTCAGGTCAGATCGAATGTGCCAAAGCCTAACCAGAGTAAGAAATGGCGGAAATCAGTAATTCAACTCGTTCCCGTGGCCCACCTTCCTCCCAAATAGAAAATGCTGAAGATCCAAAGAAACCAGAGAGCAGTACAATTGAAGCCGACATTCCTTTGAAATTACCAAGAGCAATGCGATCTGCATTCTCAAATCACAATCCATTGAACGAGATGAACTCCAACCAGCTCAATGATTCTGTTGTTAGTAAGGAGTCTGGAGCTCCAGCTCCCAGAAGTCCTCAGCGACAGGAAAGAACAGCGGATGAGAAAGAAAACCATAACCTTTAAGCTGCTATCGCCTAACCTGCACTGTAGTAGAAGACTCCACCCGAGTCTTTGATGAGTACTAAATCTACCGGACTGTTTTTCTGGTGGATTTCATTGGAAACCTGCATTGTAGTAGAAGACTCCACCCGAGTCTCTGATGAGTACTAAATCTACCAGACTGCTTTTTTTTTTTTTTTTTTTCTGGTGGATTTCTTTGGAATGTAACACGAAGGGAAGGTATCATTCATGGTAACAATTTATTAACCACTCCATGATTCATGTTTCTCTGAGCATGCGGCAGGCTCGTAGCTCATGACTGTAATTTAATAAAAAGCATCGTCTTTCTGAAGCTGTTAGCTTTACTGCAATTCCATA